TAGCAAATTGTTATTAATATATGGGTTTGGGGGATTCCAGAAGAGAAGGGAGGGAGTGTTATAAGAGCTTTGCAAGATCAGGGAGCTCATTCCCAGTGTCACATGGCGCCTCATTTCAGAACATGGAGAAAATCCTGATCCGCCCAACAGCGTTCAAGCCAGTGCTGCCCAAACCTCGAGGGGCACCATCCCTACCTAGCTTCCTGGGTCCTCGGGCCGCCGGGCTATCTGGGAGCCAGGGCAGCCTAACACAGCTGTTTGGGGCCCCTGCCTCTTCCTCTTCTTCCTCTTCTTCCTCCTCGGCTGCCGACAAACCCCTGGCATTGAGTGGCTGGGCCAGCGGCTGCCCATCTGGGACACTGTCTGACTCTGGCCGAAACTCATTATCCAGCCTGCCCACCTATAGCACTGGGGGTGCTGAGCCAGCCACCAGCTCCCCAGGTGGACACCTGTCCTCTCATGGCCCTGGGCGGGGGGCACAGCCTGGGCCAGCCCGAGGGGCCCCTACTGGGCCCTCCCACTCAGACAGTGGCCGATCCTCCTCCAGCAAGAGCACAGGCTCCCTAGGGGGTCGTGTGGCTGGGGGGCTCTTGGGCAGTGGTCCCCGGGCCTCCCCTGACAACAGCTCCTGTGGGGAGCGCTCCCCACCTCCCCCACCCCCTCCTCCCCCTTCGGATGAGGCCTTGCTGCACTGTGTCCTGGAAGGAAAGCTCCGTGATCGTGAGGCAGAGCTTCAGCAGCTGCGGGACAACCTGGACGAGAGTGAGGCGACCATGTGCCAGGTGTGGTCATTGGTGATAATGGGGAGCATCGTGGCAGAATGTCCTAAGGCCCTGGGAATCCAAAGGGTGTTTCTGTTTTGGGGGAGGGGATTGGACAGTTTCATTTGAGACACACACCACCCCCTCCCACCTAGTTGCTGTAGAGTGAAAAGGAGCCAGGGTGCATGGATTCACACCCAGCATTGCCATGTGCTATCTTTTGAACTTGAACAAGTTACCTAACTTTGCTCAGCCTTAGTTTCTTCATCTGTAAATGGTAATACTTCTGGCTCCATAGGGTTATTATGAGGATTAAGTAAGGCAAAGAGTATAAAGTGCTTAGAAAAATGCCTGGCACCTAGGAAGTGCTATATAAGTGCTTGCTATTATTATTGTTATTGTTTCTTTTGTCATAAAAGTATTGCTATTGTCATAATTGTTTAATGGCATCTACCCTACCCAGGCCCAGGGCAGTAGGCCACCAGAGCAGTCAGGGAGTGGGGATTTCAGGAAGCTACCCAGGACCTGCCTTCTTGCCTGCAGGCATATGAGGAGCGTCGGCACTGGCAACGAGAGCGTGAGGCCCTGAGAGAAGATTGTACAGCCCAGGCGCAGCGGGCACAGCGGGCACAGCAGCTGCTGCAGCTACAGGTGTTCCAGCTGCAGCAGGAGAAGCGTCAGTTGCAGGATGACTTTGCACAGCTGCTGCAGGAGCGTGAGCAGCTGGAACGGCGCTGTGCCACCTTGGAGCGGGAGCAGCAGGAGCTTGGGCCACGGCTCGAAGAGACCAAATGGGAGGTGAGCCGACACAAGAGGGTCAAGGGAGCAGGGTCACACAGGGATGAGCCCTGGCAAGAGGGGCCTAGCCAGACCCCCCTCAGCCTGCCACCCTCAGAAAGCCCCCCTTCCTCAGCCCTGTGAATGAGGATCCACTCTGCTATCCCTTTTTTTTTTTTTTTTTTGAGACAAAGTCTCACTTTGTCACCCCTGGTAGAGTGCCCTGGCGTCATAGTTCACGTTAACCTCTAACTCTTGGGCTCAAGTGATCTTTTGTCTCAGCCTCCCGAGTAGTTGGGATTATAGGCACCTGTTATAATACCTGGCTGTTTTTAGAAATGGGGTCTCACTCTAGTTCAGGCTGGTCTCGAATTTGTGAGCTCATGCAGTCCACCCACCTTGGCCTCCCAGAGTGCTAAGATTATAGGCGTGAGCCACCGCATCTGGCCTGCTGTCCCTTTCTAGGTGGGGGTGTCCTTGTACTTCCATGTTAGGTTGCCTCATGGGTTTTATCTGGAGTCCGCATAGCCAGAGCACTCCCATCCCCTTTCCAAAGAATGACAGTGCAGTGTTTGCTGTGTGACAGACACTGTTCTAAGTGTACATATTAATCTTCATAAGAACCCTGTGAGGTGGGCACTGTTAATACCCCTTTTTAGGCTAGCATGGTGGCTGAGGGAGTGGATCACCTAAATTCAGGAGTTCAAGACCAGCCTGAGCGAAAGTGAGAGCCCCCTATCTCTACTAAAAATAGATAAACTAGCCAGGCACCTGTAGTCCCAACTACTCAGGAGGCTGAGACAAGAGGATCACTTGAGCCTGAGATTTTGAAGTTGCTGTGAGCTATGAAAACCAGGGCACTCTACCCAGGGCAACCAAGTAAGACTCTGGTCTCAAAAAACATACAAAAAAATACGCCCCCTCTAGCAAAAACTAGAGGTCCAGAAAGGGTGGAGACCTAAACCACACCTAGCAGTGGCAGAGCTAAAACCTGAACCTAGGCAGTCTGGCTCCAAATCTGCTCATAACCAAGGCACTGGAGTGCCTGTCAACTGACAACGTGGGCACTGCCCTCCACTGCTCCACTCATGGCAGTTCCTGCCATGGCTCCATCCCCCAGGGCTAAGCAGCACTTCCACAGTGTCTCTTGATGGTTTAAAGGAGTGGTTCTCAACCTGTGGGTCATGACCCACAGGAACTATATTAAAGGGCGGTGGCACTTGGTTTAAAGACACCAGCTTTGCAGGAAAAAGATCTATGCTTTCTACTTTAACCACATACTAGCTGTATGATTTCAGTATGTCACTAGATTTGCCTCTGTGTCCATCTGTAAAATGATGATGATCAAACCTCTTCTCCCTGAATGCCCAGCTTGATGAGCTGGACATGAAGCGGTCCCCACAGGAACCTTCTCACCACCTACCCTTACCACCCCTAGGTGTGTCAGAAGTCAGGCGAGATCTCTCTGCTGAAGCAGCAACTGAAGGAGTCTCAGGCAGAGCTGGTGCAGAAGGGCAGCGAGCTGGTGGCCCTGCGGGTGGCACTGCGAGAGGCCCGAGCTACGCTGAGGGTCAGTGAGGGCCGGGCACGGGGCCTCCAGGAGGCAGCCCGAGCACGGGAGCTGGAACTGGAGGCCTGTTCCCAGGAGCTTCAACGGCACCGCCAGGAGGCTGAGCGGCTGCGGGAGAAAGCTGGGCAGCTGGATGCTGAGGCGGCCGGACTCCGGGAACCCCTTGTGCCACCTGCCACAGCTGACCCATTCCTCCTGGCAGAGAGTGATGAGGCCAAGGTGCAGAGGGCAGCAGCTGGGGTGGTGGGGGGCAGCCTGCGGGCCCAGGTGGAACGACTGCGGGTGGAATTGCAGCGAGAGCGGCGGCGGGGCGAGGAGCAGCGGGACAGCTTTGAGGGAGAGAGGCTGGCCTGGCAGGCGGAGAAGGAGCAGGTGATCCGATACCAGAAGCAGCTGCAGCACAACTATATCCAGATGTACCGGCGCAACCGGCAGCTGGAGCAGGAGCTACAGCAGCTCAGCCTGGAGCTGGAAGCCCGGGAGCTCGCTGACCTGGGCCTGGCTGAGCAGGCCCCCTGCATCTGCCTAGAGGAGATCACTGCCACTGAGATCTAGGGCCATCTGCACCTTGATGGGCAGTAGCTGCACATCTACTTGGGACCTTGGATCCACTGAGGGTCCCAAAGTCTGAGGGCCCCAGAGCCACACATCCTCCAGGATCTGCCAAGAACTCGGGGTGGCCCTGTGACTTGAAGGAGCAAGATTGGACCCTTCAGAAGTCCCTGTGTTCACTGTCACCCAGAGGCACCTACTCACTCTAGCCATTTCACTCCCACTGCTGCCAGTGCCACCCTTCTTACCCAGATGCCTCCAGCCCACTCCTGCTGGGAAGAGGAAAGGACACCCTCATCTCCACATTCACCCTCACCCCAAGCCAGAGAGCCAGAAGGCACCAGCTGCTCCAGATGTGCCTGCCCACATTGGGGGACAGGGCTGGGACTGGGGTCTGGCCCCCAGCTTCCAGCTCTACAGCCTCTCTCCTGGAATGAGGGGGCTGAAGTCAGACCAAAGGAAGAACTCAGAAATGTCTTGTTTATTTGTGTTTGTGACCAAGCAGCCCCTCCCTTCACCCAGGTTTATGGCCTCATTTTCACGTGTATATTTTTCACACTGTAAATTTCTTGTACAAACCCAAAGAAAACATTAAAAAAATTTTTTTTGTTAAAAAAAAGTATTCTGGGTAAAGATTAAGGAAACTTGTTTGACCCCCATCCCCTCTTTATTTGCTGGCAACTCTTCTATACCTCATGGAGCTCTTAATGGGGAGAAAGGGTGGTAGGGGAAAGAAATCTGTAGAAAGTGGAAAATCTGAGGTCCTAGTGGAATTCAACATGAAACAGTCTCTTAGAGTTGAAGAGAATGAGTAGTCTTACATCCCTGTCCCTTACACAGAATGCTACTTGGGACTGGGGGATGTGTACATTGACCCTTTGAGGGCCCTGGGAGTCCGTGTCCCTCGATGTTAGGGGGAAATCAAAGAGGCATGGTGAGAAAGTGCCCATCAAGTCCAGACTCCAGACCTTGGGTTTCTCAGCCCCTTTCGTGTCATGGGAGGTTGGGAAACAGTGTGGGTGACAGGCTGCCCACGAGCACCTTGTCCATAGACACAAAGGCAGAGCTTTAGTGACAGCTGAGGAGGGAAGTGGGAAGATGAGAGCCACCAGAGTGGAGCTGGAACTGGGCAGGGTAAGCAGGAGTGGGAGATTCTTGTGTCCTGAGAAAGTTAGCAGGAGAGGCCCTAGAGAGAGCAGGATGTTGGGGTCAGTGAGAGAGTCTAAGGTTAGTGGAAAGGGTCATGGGATAAGTGGGGAGAATATAGGCAGAGTGAGTATCAGGGATCTGGAGAGTTGGGGAGGGGATGGGGCTGGGAGTTGACTAGAAGAGGCCAGCATGCTTGACAGGGGGCTAGGTATTGGTGGGAGGTTCTGGGAGCCAGGGGGCTGGAAGTACAGTAGCATTGAGGGCTTGGTGGACAGTGGAACCATCAGCAGGAAGCTGCTGCTCAGGGAGGACTGATGAGGAGGGTAGTGGGCTGGACCTGGGGACCCTGACCACAAGCTCCATGGGCTCCCGAGCCTTGTTTCGATAAGCCCGCCGGATGGTATCCACTGCTCGCTGGTGGGTCACCTGCTCCAGGCTCTCTCCATCTACTGCTACAAGCTCAAAGCCAGCCTAGGATGGAATGGGAGAATCATGGCCCTCCTTCATGTCATGGCACCCCATCACCCCACCTGATGGCAGTATCCTCACCTCCATCAGCTAGGACACGCCTCCCCCATCTGAGTTGAGGGGATGGACAATGGGACTTTTGTGCCTCGAGCTGTTGGGGGCAGGGTGGGGCACAGACAAGGGCCCTTTGTCCCTTGGGGCATGGGGTGGAACAGGATGGGCTGGCCTCAGGCTCAGGCTAGCATGAGGGGACAGATTTTTCTTCAGGCCTGCTCATCCTGCTGGTCTGACCCTCCTAACCCTAGGCCTTCTCCCATAGTCTGGTCTAAACATGTCTGACTGGCAGGTAAGCGTGTACCAGCCTCACCTCCCACCAGACTCTGTCAGGAGTGGGCCTAGGTGCTCCTCACCCACCTGCAGGGCCCCACTGAGGAAGGCAGCACCCCCGGGGAAGATCTTCTCTATCTTCACCATGGGCTGCACCTTGGACTCAATGCCCCCAGAAATGCTGATGCCTAGTCAGGGTAAGAAACTGTTGAGAGAGTGTAGCCATACCCCAGAATACAAGCTCTTGGACAAACATAGGACACCATCCCAAAGTCCAAGGCCCCCAACTTTTCCTAAACCTCTAGGTTCTGCTATTACTCAAATTTTACTGTAACATCCTCCAGATCCCGACCCCCTCATATCTAGATACCCCAACTACACCCCAATACCCCAGATTTTCTTCCTAGACTCAGGCCCCTTAACATACCACCAAACCAAGCTGACCAACCTCCTCACCCAAATCCTAGAATCCCTCCCACCAGCCCTTGTCCCACCTGGACTCACCCAAGGACTGCTTCATCTTGGACAATGTGACTGTCCTCAACTCTCCACTGGGGGCCTGCATGGCTGCCTCCTCTACTGTCTGGCCAGTTCCATTCTCTGAGGGACCTTGTCTGCTCCCTGCCTTGGCTGCCTGGCCACCAGGAGGTCGTGGCAGAGCGGGCCTGGCCTTACGGGGCTTATGGTATCGCCCATTGGCCATGCTGGCAGTGGGGATGGGTGCTGGGGATGGGGAGCGCCTGCGTGCAGGAGACTTGCCTCGACCCTGGCTGCGGCTGCGGCTACGGCTGCGGCTGTGGCTCTGGGCCCGGCTCTGGCTCTGGCTCTGGCTCTGCCCCTGCCCCAGGTCCTCTCGGCTCAAGGGCTCTGTCAGCAGCCAGTTAGGCTTCAGAGGCCAGGGAGCCACAGGGGGTGGTTGGGGAGGGGGTGTGCTGGTGCTTCGGCAGGAGGCAAAGGCATCTACTGGCACATCTTGGAGAGGGAGTATCCCTTTATGAGAGTGGCAGGGTGCAGGGGCACTCAGGGAAACCTTGAGGCCCCCCAGCTGCTCCCTTAGCTCTCCAGCATCTTCTTCCTCTGAGAAGTTGTTCACGGGCAGCAGGTAGAAGCCTCCACGGCTGTCTGGGGAAGAGGGGCAAGTTAGGCTGTCCCTGCCTGCCCCTCTACTGAGAGCACCTTTCCAGCCCCCAGGCCCTATCTGTCTGTGTAGGGTCTATGCCAACCAGAATTGGGTTTTCTCAGGCCCTACTGCAGTGGGGACATTGCCCACTGGGACAGGTGAACAAGTATGTTCTATTATAATGGCATGCTAATACTTTCTATTGTATTAATTACAGCTCTATTTTAATGTGCTAAGGAAAAAATATTAGCACACCAATCTGGTAATTTCTCAGACATTGCATAGAATGAAACTAGATGTTAAAAGTGAGTAGGCTTCAAACCAGCTATTAAGCAGATATGCAGAAACAGTTCTGGATAGGGACCCACAATGTGTCCCCACATGAAGGCTTGGATAGAAGACCCACCCTCCCTTCCCCAGTCTCCCCAGGCTGTGCCCGTCCCTGGGCTGTGGAACTCGGACTGACCAGGTACAGGAGTGATGAGGTGACGCTTGGGTGGAGTGTCCTGCCGGGCTGGTCGCAAAACAGGAGGCCGGACTACTTGGAGAGAGGAACAGGTCAAAGGTCAGAGGCAAGTCTCCTGCACTGGCTTCTTGATGGACATGGCTCAAAGGGCTCAGGCAATCTTTGCCACCCTCTGCGCTATGGGATTCCACCCCCATCTCCATGGACTCAGGATCCAAAAGCCATCCCCTACCCCCAAGCTACTGACCTGCCCTATTCTTGAGAGCCTCAAAAGCCTCTAGCTCCACGGGCATCACCATGCTGTCAAAGCGGCCCAGGTCCGTGGGGGCCACCACACTCCTGGGAGAGGACAAGAGATGGGGGGTAGGGGTGGACAGGGGCTCAGTTTTGGAGGTGTTGGGAAGAACTTCAGCCTTGGGGAGGTAGGGGGAGATATCAGGGATCCTTTTCCTGCCCTCAGTCCTCCTTCTTTTCAGCCCCTTCCCCACCTGATATCCCTCAGCAGTAGCAGCTTCTCAGGCCTGTCCAGAATGGCCAGCAGAGGCCTCACCAGGTCTTCCACACCACCCTCATGCACATACTGCAGGCAGATAGAGGCACCACAGGTCAGATAGCAGTGGGGACTTCCTGAGCTGGGTGAGGGGAAATGCAAGGGCATGAGGGGCTCTGGGACCCATCCAGCCCTTCACGCCTTAGGAAAGTTTCACTCCACCCCTGGGGTATCCACAGAATGGTCTTATCTTGGTGACTAGGTAGAAACCTGCAATAGTAACAGACCTGTAATAAAGAGCAACAGCAACAACACCTTGGGGACAGGTACCTTCTAAGCCTTTTTCATATAGTCACAACCCTGAGAAATTCTATTAGTTATTGTCATCTTTACATTTAAGGAAACTGAGGCTTAGAGAGGAGGACTTTGTTAAAAACCACACAGATAAGGAACTGTGAAGAGGGTTTGGAACCTGAGAAGTCTGGCTCTTCCCTGCTCTGGTACCGGAAAAGGATGTGCAGGGAGTGGACTCTCCTCTCCACCCCCACCTCCCAGGCAAAAGGAAGGAATTTGAGCCAAACACTAGGCTGTGGGCCTGACTGTCCCAGCGTGTGTCTGTACACAGACCTACAAATTAGGCTTTGTTCAGGGCTGGAATGGGGGCGTTAGGGAAGGGGTGGCTCTACAGAAAGCCTCTCTAGTACCCTGGTTGGGGGGGCCTGCCTGGCACGGCTTGGATGCCACCAACCACACCCCACTCATTCCAAAGACCTGAACACTGGAAGCCACCCTACTTGGACAACACACCACCCTCTGGTGGTCAGTGGGAAACTGATTCAGGGACACATACACAGAACATGAACATCTCCTACAGGGCATAGACAGTGTGCCCTGGAGGTCAGAGGGAGTCATTCATAAATATCTGGAAATAAAGTACAAACCCTGTGTGGCCATAAACCACCACATAAAGCTACAGGAACTCACACATACATATATCAATAATACAGTCCCTTTTGTCTGGAGCGAGAGACATACATTGCACAGAACCAACCACATATGTGCACACATTTCAAGTCCACAAACCTGCATTCAGCACTCACTAAGTGCCAGGCCCTGTACCAGGCAGTGGAGACAACACTCCTGTCTCAGATCTTCAGGAACTCATTCTAGTGAGAATGAGAGGCAGATGAGTCATCTACCCCAGGGAACTCCAAGCCACTGGCAATGGGACAGAGAGTCTGAGAGGAAGGTGGGAGGATCAGAGCAGGCTTCATGAAGATGGTGGTATTTACACTGACTCTTAGAGGATACATGCAGGGAACAGAGGAAAATGTTCCAAGGGTGGCATGGAATAATAGGTAGAGGTTTAATTTGGTCATAGGGTCCATGAAGAGCCCCCATGTAGGGCTGCACAGGTTGTAACTACTATGTAAGTGGTGCCCTCTGAAGTTGAGCAATTAATAACCTATTTAAACCTGAGTGGTGGCCATGGGAAAGCTGAGGTTAGTGGGTTAAGCAGTCAAATCAGGGAGGGTCTTAAATGTTAGGGTAAGAAGCTTGTACTTTATTTTGCCAAAGACATGTATCACTAGGTAGGTTGGGGAGTGTAAAGTGATCAGAGAGGAGGTGTGTAATTCCTGATTTGTCAAGCTGTGGAGAGGTGGTTTAGGGAGGAGAGAGGGGAGGTCTGGGGCTGGGGTCTTCACAACTACCAGAACTTTACTAATCCCTGGCCCAGGCTCCATTCCAGAGTCTCATCTCTTGATGTGGGTGTGGCTTGGGCCGGGTGTGGGTAATATCTCCACCTGGCAGGTGTATGAGGGCACAGTGAGTGGAGGCTCTCAGTTGGGCAGGGGATGGGGGGGAGGAGGAGGGAAAGGAGCCGGCCAAGGAAACGGACGTAGAGCACCACCTAGTGGCCATATCTAGAGTTGCAGGCTCACCTCAGTTGAGAGCTGAGGGTGACACCTGCTGACTGAACCCAAAGTCCCTTAGCTGTCCGCTAGCGTGCACCCCCTTCAGCTCTGCTGTAAGCCAGGCCTTGGTAAAGGGATTGGTGAATGACTGTGTCTCAGTCTCCAAGTGACAATGCACGAACACACTCATGCAGTAGCCAGCCACACGCATGTTCACACACAGACACAATTACGCAGTCACATCAACAAGGCAGGTGCCCACAGATACACCAATGCACACACCACACAGACATACAAAACTGTTCCTCCCAAACAAGGTGGGAGTTGGGGGAACCCACAAACAATATCCTGAGACCCTCTCAACTGGCCCTCGCACACAGCATGTGTGACACATGTTGCTCACAGGAAGCCCACCATACGACACCACACAGGTTTGTAAACTGCACGCCTGGGCTTTCCTGAGAGTCAGAGATAAGAGAGGACCTTCCAATCCTCCCAGAGGGGATTAACTGCACCTCTACAGCCTCCCAACATTGAGGCTCCCGGTACTCCTTTGAATCAGACTCTCCCCCCACTCTGGAGCCCTGTGGTTCTTTTAGAAGGGGAAGGAGCAAAGAACAACAGCGTATGGGGGAGTTGAGGGGGATGTGGAGGGCAAGAATTATTACTTATATGGGTAACAGGGGAGTGGCCTGGCTGAACCAGGAGCAGAAGGAGGCATAGAGGGACAGCTGGGGGCTTACAGATGTCAGAGGCAGGTGACTCTCTTCCCCTACTCATCACCTGTCTGGTGCTTCTCTCCTCAGCTTACATATCACCTCATCCAGGAGTTCCTCCTAGACCACACCATCTAATGTGTGCCTTACGGTTATCTCTTCATGTTTTCTTTCATGGCACTTCACATGACTTGTCATTAAAGGTGCTTAGGTTCTAGTTATTGTCTATGTCCCCTTCCTGACTATGCACTTAGTGTGGGGGTACATGACAGGAGGCACTGCTTTTATTGGCCATTGGCTTCCTTTTTTGTTTGTTTGTTTAAATTGAGACAGAGTTTCACTATATCACCCTTGGTAGAGTGCAGTGGTGTCAGAGCTCACAGCAACCTCAAACTCTTGGGCTTAAGTGAATTCTCTTGCTTCAGCCTCTCTAGTAGATGGGACTACAGGCATCTGCCACAATGCCTAGCCATTTTTTTTTTTTTTAGCAGGCCTGGGCCAGGATTGAACCCACCAGCCCTGGAGCATGTGGCCGGCACCCCAACCATTGAGCTGTGGGTGCCCCCTGACCATTGACTTCCTATCATTAAGCCCAGATACTTGTCAGTGGACAGTGGCCTGAATGAATGAAGAGATGGGTCACTGAGTGACCCCCATGGGTCGGGAGCAGGGTAAAGTCTTACCCGGGAGCAGTGGCGGGTGATGGCCAGTACCTCGTCGTCAGTCAGCAGCCGTCGGGCCAGGTCCTGAATGAGGGGCCGTCGGCTTTCCCAGGCCTGCACCCGTTCATCCATGTTGGGAAGCTGGCTGGAGGGGCTCCCAGACCTGGCAGAGAGCAGGGTCCGGCCCCTCTCCCGGTCTGCAGGGCAGGAGCAAAGGTGTGAAGGAGGAGCCAGGAGCCATCAGGAGAGGGCAGGGGCTTTCCTCAGCAGGTCAGAGCCCAGAAGAGGCCCAGGCACCAGGATGGAATCCCAGCCTTGCCCATATGCTCTCTACCATGGTCTTTCATAGCAGTCTGCCCACCAACCCTTGCCCCACAGCTCCCAAACACAGACCCTGGTATCAGTCTGTTCCTTAATGGAGTCTTAGCCCAGTACCCTCTGGGCCCCCTGAACAGATACTGAGCCCCCATTGGCTCAGCACAGGCTCCCTCATTGCCCCCAAATCTGGCTTTGGGAGTCCCAACCCAAGTCCCCAATACACCTGAATATCTGCCTGCAACCCTCTTTCCTAGTAAGCTCAGTCCAATTCCTTTAGCTGCCCTAGCATTTCCCTAGCTGCCTGACTCCCCATGCTTGATCCCAACTGAGTTTAGTCCAAAGCCACTGAGCTGGTCCCCATACTCTCCCCCATCTGCTGCTCTACTGTAAACCTGGCCTTGTTAAAGAATGGATGAATTACCACGTCTCAGTCTCCAGGTGACAAACTTCTGCACGGGCCCCACGCCCCCTACATGAAGAAGAAAGAGGCTCAGTTGCAGGTCCTGGCCCCCAAACTGAAAATGGGGCTTGAAAGTTCTGGTGGGAATGAGGGGTTTGGGCCAGAAGTGGGACAGGGGGTCAAGAGGCCTGGCCATGAGGGGCTTGAAGGTCATGCTGAGGCTAGGGATATGGTCCATAGGCCATGGAGACTCAGTGAAGGCTTGGATCAAGAGAAGGTCTAGGCTCGGCGCCTATAGCTCAACCGGCTAAGGCGCCAGCCACGTACACCTAAGGTGGCGGGTTCGAATCCCCAGCCCGGACCTGCCAAACAACAATGACGGCTGCAACCAAAAAATAGCCGGGCGTTGTGGCGGGCGCCTGTGGTCCCAGCTACTTGGGAGGCAGAGGCAGGAGACTCGCTTGAGCCCAGGAGTTGGAGGTTGCTGTGAGTTGTAATGCCACGGCACTCTACCCAGGGGGACAGCTTGAGGCTCTGTCTCAAAAAAAAAAAAAAAAAAAAAGAGGTCTAGTCTGAGCTCGGCTTATGCTGATTCATTGGAAGCAAACATATGGAGGGAAAACCTCAAGGACTAAGCTTGGGGTACACCTACCTGCAGGGGACAGGGGAAAGAGGAGCCTTTGAAGGAGAGAGTAGCCAGAGAGGGAGAGAACCAGGAGAGAGCAGGGCCCTGGGAGCTGTGGATAAAGAGATGGGCTGAGGAAAGAGTGCTGGCCAGCCCGAATGTAAAGGAATTTTCTCTCATGGGATGTCACCTTGAGAGCCCAGAACATTTGGCTCCAGAGTGGAGCAGTGTCTAGTCCCTTATCCTCTGGTTGTATTTGCCCACCCAATATCCTCTACCCTTCTAGAAACAGAATCCTGATTTTTCCCTGGGGACCCCCCACCATCTCATTCTCAGCCCATATACTCCAGAGCGGGCATTTGCCCCAAGTTGGCCAGTGAAAGCATTTCTGTCTTTCCATCATAGCTGGGACAGTGAGTGCCCGCCCTAGGACTTTTGCTGGAGCTGTTTCAGGAGAAGCTCTTTTTTCCTAGGCTTGCTAAGCAATAGTGGCCACCTTACTTCCAAGTCAGCAAAGTGCACATGATCATGAAGCCAATGCACATAAAAGAGGGAGGGGGACAGACATCTGATGATAACTGTCCCAACCTTTGGACCCAGCTTAAATCAGTAGCTGAGCCAAGAAGTGGTTTTTTGTTTTGTTTTTTGTCGAGACAAAGTCTCACTTTGTTGTCCTCAGTAGAGTGCCATGGTGTCACAGCTCACAGCAACCTCCAGCTCTTGGGCTTAGGCGATACTCTTGCCTCAGCCTCTCGAGTAGCTGGGACTACAGGTGTCCACCACAATGCCCAACTATTTTTTTGTTGCAGTTTGATCGGGGCTGGGTGTGAAGCTGCCACCCTCAGTATATGGGGCTGGCACCTTACTCACTGAGCCACAGGCACTGCCCAAGAAGCACTTTTTAAAGCTACATGGAGTTGAGTTTCCGTCACATGTAACTCCAAGAGTCTTATCTAACTCAGCAGCTCGTGGTCTAGTCTCTGAAACTCACCAGAGAGAAGATAGGGCCTCTTGTGACTGTTCTTGGGGAGCCCCTGATATGAGTTAGCCTGGGCTGGACCTTTGTGCCTGGGTCCTGATCTAGAAATGGCGTTGCTCAAGGATGCTTCTAGAACTAAGTTGGGCCAGTGGAGCTCTGGTCAGGGGAGGTGAAGCCAAACACTCTAGGAAAAGTGTGGTGTGCCACTACCACCATCATCACGAGCACAGGATGTGATCCGACCTCTCCCACTTCCTTGCCGTGCTATGATTCTAACAGTTTCCCCTTCTATAAAATGGAGAGATGAGGGCAGTGCCTGTGGCTCAAGGAGTAGGGTGCTGGCCCCATATACCAGAGGTGGTGGGCTCAGCCCCGGCCTCAGCCAGAAACTGCAAAAAATAATTACAAAATAAAATGGGGAGATGAAACAAGAACAATACTATAATGACCACATTTCCTGTGCACCTTCTCTGTGCCAGACGGCATTCTAAGTGATTTACATGCATGCACTTATTTCTCACTACTCCTATTCCAGACTAAGGCTCACAGGGGTTGAGTGGTGATGGTGACTCCTAGATGGAGAGAGGCAGTATGGGGTCTCAATCCAGAATTGGTGGGTGACATGGCCAGTGGACTGTACCTTGCCCTCCTGTCTGATCAATCCAGCACTCACCTTTCTCCATGTCCAGGTGAGGGCGGACTTTGGCTGGGCTCCCGCTTTCCAGTGTCCAGGCCTCTCTGTGCCCGTCTCCTGCTAGCCGCCCCTGCCGCCCTCCCTTGAAGAAGAGGTTCATCAGCGTCTTGGAGCGTTGCAGGGCACCCTTCTCCCCAGGGGACCCTGACTTCTTCTTCCGCTGCTTCTTCTCCTCTGCAGACACGAGGGAGCACCCAGGGGACTGGAGGGGTGGGTAGAAGGGAAGGACAGGGCCAGGGGTGTGGGGAGGGGCAGAGAGAAGGGAGAGGAAGGGGCAGACAGGATCTGCAGCAGTGTGGGGTGGGAGGGGATGGGAGGGCACTCCTCTTCCACTTTCCAAGCCCTTCCCTCCACTCCACAGCTGAAGCTATGTAAAGAATCTCCATCGAGGGCCAGCTGGAGGAGGGCATGCCTACATGTGTGTGTGTACATTTGTGTGTGTGAGAGAGAATAGGCCTAGGAACTCCAGGATGGAGGGGCCAAGGTTAGGGCTGGTTTGGGGGGCCCAGGACTAGTTAAAAATGGAGCCCAGATCAGGTTCTGAGTCCATTCTGGGGCTGAGTCAAGGCCTGGGGCAGAGAGTGGGGCAGGTTTGGGACCAGGGGACTGTGGAGAGAGTAGCAGCCACCCATCGCCCACGTACCCCACAAGGTCAGGTGGCTCTGGGAGCGTGTGATGGGGGGCCTGGGTCGGCTGAGGGCCAATAACAAAGCAGTCTTGGGGGACTCAGAGAGTGCAGAGTCAAGGCGAGGGGCACTAGGGGGACCATCAGAGCGTATGGCTGTGTCCCTGAGGATGACTGTGGGCCGCACACTGCACCAGGTCTCCACGTGGGTCCCCAGATCAGGCTCCGTCTGCATGGCTGTGTCCGCCCGTCCCCAGCCTGGGCCCTGGCTGCCTGGCTCCTCAGGCCCCAGGCAGACGTCCATGCGGTCCGAGGGCAGGGAGCCTGAGCTATAGGGGGCACTGGAGGCACACGAGGAGACACTGGAGCTGCTCTCAGAGGCTGGGGACAGCTGCTGCAGCACCCCGTTGCTCACTGTAGGGAGTGGGGAATGCAGGGGCATCTCAGGGGTCTGCTGGTTTGCTTCAGGGCCCTGTCCAGCTTGTAGACCACCCCTGGGCTTGGGGTGGAAGAATGAACATCAGTCAGGCAGCACCAAGGTTAGAACCACAGGGTCTGGGGAACCAGCTGCTCTGCAATCACTTTTCAATTCACATACTCCAGACCCTAGGAAAGTCTGGAACTGAATCTATAGCTTCTTAGAGGGGAGCCCAGAAATAGCTCTGGGCAATATGAAGGTCCTGGAGGGATTTTGGTCCCCCTCTTTTCTTTTTCAGAGATCCTAACTCCAGCCTTGGGCCTCAGCCCTTTGCCTCTAACATTGGGGACCTAAGCCACTTACATCGGTCCAACCAGCAATACTCAGAAACCATCTCCTTGTAGGCAGGATAACGTCCAGTTTCCTGGGAAGAGCACAGTGGGCAAAGGAGGGCATGGGGAGTGGTGAGAAAGGAGTGGGAGAAAGTGAGAATGGGGGATGATGGGACAGGAGCACACTTTCAACCCCATTTCTCTCCTAAGTTCATTATATTCTAACCTCATGGGCCACTTTATTTCTTTTTCCTTTTCTTTCTTTTTTTTTTTTGAGACAGAGTCTCAGGCTGTCGCCCTGGGTAGAGTGCTGTGGTGTCACAGCTCACAGCAACCTCAAACTCTTGGGCTTAAGTGATTCTCTTGCCTCAGTCTCCCAAGTAGCTGGGACTACAGGTGCCTGCCACAATGCCTGGCTATTTTTTGGTTGTAGTTGTCATTGTTGTTTGGCAGGCCTGGGCTGGATTTGAACCTGCCAGCTCAGGTGTACGTGGCTAGTGCCCTAGCCACTGAGCTACAGGCACTGAGCCAGGCTACTTTATTTCTGAACATGCCAAGTTCTTTTTGTATCTCAAGGCCTTTTCACTTGCTATTCCCTCAGCCTAGATTCTTTTCCCTCAGCTCATCATGTGGCTACCTTCTTCCTGCCCTTTAGATGTCACCTCCACAGAGAGGCCTGCCCTGATCCCCCGAGCTACAGGGAGCCTTCCTAAATCACTCCATCCTGTCTCTATGTTACTTTCCTCATAGCACCTGTCACAATCTGTAATCTGAGTTTGTCTCCCCACAGCAACAGAGACCTTGTCTATCCTGTTCACTGTTAGAGCCCCAGTACCTGGCATAGCAGCCAGAATACAGGAGGTACTCAGAAATATTACTGAATGAATGAATGATTGGCAGGGTGGGAGTGAGGAGGGTGTTGGGATAATCAGAGAGGGAGGAAAGGGAGAAATGAGATGTGGGAAATAAGGAGGTGGGTTGGCTGAGGAGGCACCAAACAGCCAGATGGATGAAGGCTTGGGGAAGAAGGGTAGAATAGCAGCTGGGATTCGGCCCTAGGGAAAGTGAAGCATCACCTCCTTGAGGAGCCAGCGTGAAAAGGCTCAGGCAAGGGCGAGACCCACATGAATAATGAATCCAGCCACCTCTCCTGAAATCCAATCTCTGGCCCTTGCCCAGCCCTGCTTGCCCTGTGCACGGAGATGCCCACCACCCAAGTCCTGCCCAAAGCCACAGCTACCAGCCCACCCTTCTGGGCAGGGCATCTGCTCCTTTCAACCCCAGGCATCTGCCATTCCTAAGAAGGGGCACTGTTCTAGCAATTAGGGAGCAGGCCTGGCTACCGACCAGCTGAGTAACTGACTGGTTCATGAGCTACTTTGCTTCTCTGAGCCTCAGTTTCTTCTGCAAAATAGAGATGGGAACCACACCTGCCCTATGTTCCATGTAGCTGTGGAAATACCATATATTGCAGAGCAATGACCACACCTAGGAGTCCCAGGGTAATCTGGGGAAACTGTCTTTTGTGCTGGCCTCTCCCTGACTCCCACTGTTCTACTTACCTTGATGGTCAACATGATGTGTGTTTGGCCCTTCAGCACTTCCACTGCCTGGCTGTGGCTGATGTCATCAAATCTGACACCATTGGCCGCTAGGACCTGGTCGCCCACCTTGATGCCATTCTCCTCAGCCAGCCCACCATGGTCCACTCTAGGGGCAGATAGGCATCAGTCTAGGCCTCGGGCCTACCCTCCAAACCCCTCACTCCAGACTTAAGAGATGCCCCAGTTGAGCTGCTGGACCCTCCTCCTGGTAACCCCCTGACTGAGGCCCTCATTTTGACAGGTAGCTAGCTAGGCCTCGCTTGCTTAACTCCCCCAGGTCCCAGCCCTACCCTGTTTTACTTCCTGCCCCAGCCCTCACTTGGACACATAGATGCCCAGGCCAAACTCCTTGCCCCCACGGATGTTGAAGCCCAGGCAGAAGTCATCAGAGGTTGTGTACAGGTGGACGATGCGCCGCACACCGTCCTCTGAGCTGCTGTCAGATGGCGTCGAACCACACTTCTCCACCACCAGCCTCCGATTCACCACATCTACCCTGGGGCAACAGCAAGGGGCCTCAGCTGGGTCCCCATCCACTACCACCCACCAGGTCTCCCAGCCCTGATAACTGCACAGGAAAGGGGGTTGTCTTTGGGGGTCTGCCCAGGCCTGGACCCTGAGAGGGACATGGATTTCATCAAATTTGGGGAACCATTCCAATAGCCTTTGCATTGAGCCACTGAAGGTGTCAGGCCCATTTCTAATCCTTATAGCACCCCCATGGGGAGGTGCTGTTACTGTCCCCAGGTTTTACAGCAGCAGCCACAGGGGCAGGGCAACTGGTATGAGGGAGTGCTGGAGAGATGCTTCTCATGTTGAGGTCAGCCCTTAGGATCCCATGTTTCCAGTGCCTAGTGGGCAGGAAGAGCAGAAGCCACTCCTGCCAATGGGTTTTAGGTGGTGGTAGTGCTAGGTGAGCTGGGGCAAGGCCGGGGTGGGGGCAAGGCAGGTACTGCTCACCACGTGGTCTTCTCTTTGGAGAACTTGATGCCCGGCACACGGCCCATGCGCCGCACCATCATGTGCAGGCGGCTGCTGCCCGTCAGCACCTTCACAGCACTGCCCATGGTGGTGCTCTCCAGGCTCAGCCCATTCACCTCTGTGATCTTGTCCCCCACGCATAGGCCAGCCCGCTCTGTACCAGGGGATGGGGCTGGCTGGTTTGGGGCACTTGGGAGAAGGGTCCCCAGGGTGGGGTTGAGCATTTCCCATCAGACTGGGATCCCTGGTATAAACGGAGCTTCCTCAATCAGAGTGGAGAATCCTCAGAGCAGGGTTGAATGTCCCCTATTAGCCCAAGGATCTGTCCCTTAATCTCCTCTGCCCTGAGTGTGGGCCCTGTCTCCCCATTATGCCCTCCAGAGCTGAAGACTCTTTCCCTCATGCCTGACAGCAGCTCCCTTTGCTTCTCACTGAGGTGTCACATCCCAAGCCAGGACCTCACCGCAGGGACCCCACTCACCTGCACTGCTCCCCTCCTCCACTTTGCTGACAAAGATACCCAGGCCATGCTCCGAGCCACCGCGCACGCTGAAACCCAGCCTCCCTGCTGGATTCTTCTCCACCCGGACTGCATGGATGATGTCACTTTCATCACTGTTAGCTGTGGGGATGGGGACATGGACATGACCCCATGTTCATTCTGGCACGGAGGGTCCCTAGGTTCCCCAACTTGGGGCCTGCACAATGTGGGTTGCTGGGCACAGCCACACAAGCACTGAGGGCCCTAAATGGATCAGAGGGCAGCTAATTTCTAAGTCCCCCGTGTATGATTTTGAGACCATGTGAGAGAGTGTAGGAACAGTGAGAACAGCAGGACAGGGTTCCTAACATGGGGGTATGTGTGTCAGTGCTTACAAAGCTTCATATGCCCACAGGCCTGTGGTAAGCCAAATTCCTAAAAATCATGGCACTTACGGTCAGATGGACAGAAAATAAAGTTCAAGATTCTGTTGTATGAGGGCATAGGTGAGGGAGTCTGGGCTCTTCAGCTGGTAGCAGAAATAAGTATATTAACGCTAACTTCAAATAGTTGTAGAGCTATCCCATGGAAGGCATTAGATGTTTTTATCTATATAACCCAGAAGGCAAAAGCTAGCCCACATGGCAGAATTAGTCAGGGGAAGATTTTATAAGGAAAAACTTTATAAAACATTCAGCTATCGGCTCGGCGCCTGTGGCTCAAGCGGCTAAGGCGCCAGCCACATACACCTAAGGTGGCAGGTTCGAATCCCCAGCCTGGACCCGCCAAACAACAATAATGGCTGCAACCAAAAAATGGCCAGGTGCTGTGGCGGGCGCCTGTAGTCCCAGCTACTTGGGAGGCGGAGGCAGGAGACTCGCTTGAGCCCAGGAGTTGGAGTTTGCTGTGAGCATGATGCCATGGCACTCTACCCAGGGGGATAGCTTGAGGCTCCGTCTCAAAAAAAAACAAAAAAACATTCAGCTATCAGACAGTGGAATGGGTTTTGAGATAATGAGCTTCCCATATTTAGAGGCATACAAGGTGAAACCAGGTCTGGGATGTTATGGAAGGATCCTCGAGGCCCCTTCCATCTCTCAGTCTCTGTGATTCTGGAGAAAAGAGCTCTAGGAATGACCTGGCTGCATGGGGAGAGAAACCCAAACAATAACAGTCTGAAGTATGTGCCCAGGGTGGGGAGCAGCTCTCTCCATCAGTCCTGGGGGAAGTAGGGGAAGGGAGTGCCCTGGGACTATAGCTGCCGAGAAGGTTTCTGCTGAAATAGGTGGGATTTGGATAGGTGGAGGGGATGGAGTGAGCCAGTCTCAGCTGTGGGCCCTTGAAGAGAAAAGAAAGGAGGTCAGAGGGGTAAGTTGGGTCCCAAGTGAGAAGCTGAGATTTCTTCTTGGGCAAGGGTTACTCTAGAGGTGTTTGTAAAGGAGAAGTCTGTCTGTCTGTCTGTCTCTCTCTCTCTCTCACACACACACCCCACACACTTCAGTTTGATCTAAGAGAAATCAGGTTACAGTGCATGACCAGGGTAGCTCAGAAATAAATCCCCAAGGGCAGCTGGTCAGCAGGGGCAGGACAGACTTAAGGGAGGCTGGGATTCCCTAGTTAATTATATTTACACAGATTTCAGGACTTTTCCAGTCTCAGCGAAGGAGTCTTTTGCTCTCTCACCCCCAATCCCCTTTCCCCTTAGGCCCTCCCTGTGGCCTCCCCAGGGCACTGCGCCAGGGGGATGCCCAGTCTGAGGTTTTGATCCCAGGAGCTCAGATCCTATGGTGATGGTACCTTCTCTTCCTCTTCTGGTCCAGCCCCGGCCCCCAGCTCCTGTCCCTAAGCACTCCCAGCAGCCCCCTAATTATCGCCCACTCCTTGCTTTTACCACTTTATTGACTCGATGCAGCAGCCAGAGCAGCTTTCATATTAGGTCATATCTTTCCCCTAACTAAAAACTTCCACACCTGCTCCTGCTCTTGCTCCTAGAGGAACGGCAAACCCCTCACCATGCCCTGTAGGGCCCTCTGTGGGCTTCCCTCTGCCCACCCCTCTGCCCTCACCTCCGGTTACTCTCCCCTCCATCACTGAGATTTGGCCACACTGACCTCCTTCCTGTTCCCAATATAGGCCACATGCTTTCCATGTCTCCTCTGCCTGCAGGCCTCTGGCTCAGACCTTTGTAAGGCCAGCTCCTTCCCTCACTCCCCTCCTGGCTCAGACACCACTTTCTCAGAGAAGCCATTTTGGGGTCCACTACTCCTCCTCCCAGTAAGTCCTTATTATAGTAGCTCTCAAAGCACGGTTGCCCAAACCAACAACACCTGAGAATTTGTTAAAAATGTGAATTCTTGCACTTTACCACAGATTCACTGAGTCAGAAACTCTGGGAGTGAGCCAGCAATGTGTTTCTTAATAGGCTGTCCAGGTAATTTTGATATACCTAAGGTTTGAGAACCACTGTTCTGTCATATTATCCAAATGATTTCCTTCAGATTCTTCCCATCCCTCGTCATTATTTGCTTCTTTGTGCATTATTTTGCCTCCTTTCACTAGCTGTGTGCTCTGTCATGGGGGGACTTTGTGATTCTCTCCCACCAGTAGATCCCCTCTATGTTGTACAATACTTGGTATTTGCTTTTTTGCTTTTTTTTTTTTTTTTGAGACAGACTTGTACTCTGTCACCCTGGATAGAGTGCAGTACTTGGTAAGTACTTAATAAGTATTTTTTATAAGTATTATTTATTTATTTTTTGAGACAAAATCTCACTATGTTGCCCTCAGTAGAGTGCTGTGTCATCACAGCTCACAGCAACCTCAAATTCTTGGACTTAAACAATTCTCTTGCCTCAGCCTCCCAAGTGTATGTGGCCAGCGCCCTAACCACTGAGCTATGGGCACGGAGCCTGAAGTATTTTTTGAATAAATGAAAGAATAAAGGGATGAATGAATGAACTAGGAAAGTGAGGAAAAAGGGCTGGTTTGAATCAAAGGTAATGAATTTTCTCTGGAACCAGTTGAGTTTAAGGAGTTGGTGGGAACTTGTGGGGCTGATGGGCTGTTTCTCCCTTATCAACTACTTTATTCCCCCGGAGTGGTCTCAGTAACAATATGGAGCAGGGGTTCCAGGCTGGGGGAGTTGGATGATGTCTGTGCTCAGGCAGAGGAGAGGATTCTGAGCTCAGGAGCTCCCACCCCAGGCAGGATGGGAGCCAGGTGGTCAGAACAATGCCCCAGTCCTAGTCCTTCAATTATTAGGAGATGTTGCTCTTATGGCTGGATCATGGCATTAGGGTGAGGCAGAAGGAGAAAGAAATCATAGAGCTTCCCGAAGAGGATCTTTAGAGGGATGGTATAAATTGTTCTTGCATCATACACGGCAGGGTGGGGGCAGAGTGTTGGCCAGGGTACAGCATAGTTCTTTCAATAGAATAGAACTCATAAGCGCAGTGCCCCAGTGCCTGCCTGCCCCCTTGTGTCTTCTAGCCGCTCTGGGGACTTCTGCTTCCTGACGAGAATGACTATGGTGACCCTGAGCAGGACCCTGCTGCTCAGCTGAGGGGGAGGCTCAGAGTGGTGGGTGACTGGGGTGAGCCTGAGCAACACACTTCTCCCCTGCCCCAGTGGCCTGGGGAGGGGAAACAAAGCTGTCTGGCTGGGTCAGACAGGAGGAGCAGGACCTGAAAAGTCCAGTCTGGGACCCAGCCAGAGGCACTCTGCTGGCTAGAAAGAGGAGAGGAGCTGGAGATATTTATCTCATCCTGCTCATAGAAAGCCCAGGCCCAGGGGGCCCCTGCTCCCTCCCTGACATCCAAGGTCCTGTCTTACCAGCTCTTTGTTGCCTCACATCTGTCACTGCAGCCAGGCTGTCTCCTAAGTGCCCACCCCACCAAGCTCTATGCTTTCCACTTTCAACTTTCACTGGTGATAGCTCCATCCCACCATCACCTGTTCTTGTTGCTCTAAGTCTTACTACCCTGTAAACGTCTGGAAAGTGAAGAATACGTCCTATTTTCTATAAATAGCCTTCAGGACCTCCCCAGGGCTGGCATAGAATCAGTGTGCCAGGAAGCGGCATTAAGCAGCTACATAAGCTTAGGTCTTCCCCCTCTCTCACCTTTGACTCTCCTGTTCTTTCCACTCTTCTGAACATTTGTTACTCTACCTTCATTCCCCTCCTTCTGCACCTGAAACCTTTATTCTGTCTACCCACCTGGACACTAACTCCTTAAAGCCCAACATAGAGCTGGAGGCACAAAGGACTGGTTGATGGAGGACGTCCTCCTCCACCCTGCCCCTCTCAAAGGCACATACAAATGAATTTGTAGAACCTATGAGAGGAAAAGGGCAGTTCAGTACCCTGCTTTGCTCACTTGGGGGCTAGCATAGAACACACACGCCTTTCCCTCCTGTGGTGCGGGTATCTACACCTTTAACTCTTCTACAATGGTGTAGCCCTAAAGGATTGTCCTGGAGGAGAGGTAAGGGTAGGTGAAGAAGTGTATAGGTTCCCGGAGGCCCCCCTCCCCAGTTGCCTACACTACCATCTCTTGAGTTCCCCCACCCATATTGGCTCTGCCTCCTTCTCCTAAGCTCCCACTGTCCTCCACTCCCACCCTCCTCTTCCCAGGCCAGTGGCTGGCGCCGCCCCCACCTTCGATGGGGGAGTTGATGAGGATGACACGGCCCATGGGCGATGAGGCTCGGATTCCGCGGGGGGGCCCATTCAGCAGCCGCCGCTGCTTCCTTAGCAGGTATCGCGTTGCGGTGGAGCCGGAGTCGCTGCCCAGGTGGCCTCGGGAGGAGAGGGAGCTCAGAGAGCCAGAGCTCAGGTCTCCTAGGCCCAGTGGGTCAAAGCCCACTGGGAAACCGTGCGCCATGGAGCCTGGGCTGGGCTGGGGCCCTTAAAGGTTCAGCAGGAACCTGCTAGCCCCAGAGAGGCCAGTCCTGAGTGCTCTGAGCTCCATGAGCCTCCTATGCAGGGCTGGGATCAGTAACCAGGAGCCCTTCCTTGCGCTGCCTTTAGGAAGTGTTGGAAGTGTGACTCCAGACCTGGGCAAGGATGGGAGGGGATGTAAATGCTGCCCCTACTGCCCCTCAGAAGTTTCACACACACACACCCCACCACCGTATGAGTATCCTTAGGCTCCCCCACCTCTCCTACTCCAGGCCAGAGACCATCACAGACTTTCTCGGACTTTACACAAGGCAGGTGGGAGATACCCTGTCGTGCACCGTTCATTCCTGCTCTCAGCTGAGTCATCTACTTCCATCCCCAGTCCTCAGTAGAGGTTGGGATTATTGCGGGACTTGAAGCTTCAATTGGTGTGAGATAATGAAGGGTCAGGGCAGTTCACTGCACCACCTCTCCTGTACATGCGGGTAAGTCGCCAGCCCTGGGGGTTGGGTCTCAAGTGCAAGGCTCCAGGGCCTTAGAGATCTGCGGCTGAGGTTCCCAAACATTTTCCGGACCCCGCTCCCAGTCTAAAGAGGTTGGGCGAGCCTCTCCCATACTTGGAGGATCTGCTGGTAAGGTTCCCGCAACATCCTGCACAAAACCCAAGGCCAAGTCCCTTAGAGCAGCTCTGGGACCCAGAACGCAGCACCCCAGCCCCAGCTCATCTCTCCTCGGACCCCTTCTCCTCAAACTCAGTCCCCTCACCTGTTTGCTTTTGCGGTGGCCGCCGGCTTCGCCTCCAGCTGGAGCCGGCCGCTGCTGCAGACCTGGAACTCCGCCCACGCTTCGCGGGGGCTGCGGGAATAGGGCTGGCCCGGGCAGTCCCAGGCTCCTATTGGTTGGTGGGGCCGCCAATCACTCCCTCCCTTCACCTCCTGTGGGCTACAGGGGCAGCAGTTCTTTACCAGGTCTGGAGACCGCTGGGTCCTACCCTCTCCTGTTCTAATTCCGACGCCCCATTCCATCGTTTGAATTTAGGGCTTGGGTCTCGGCTCGCCCCGCTACCGCTAGAACAGCGTCTTCTTTGGGCCAAGTCAGCTAGCGAGGCTCTTAGAATTGCCACCCCTCTGCAATCAACCCCAAGGTTTCCGCAGGAGAATGTTACCTGGACAGAACCAGACTTGAGCCTGCGTTTTCGGCAGGAGTTCCCTGTATGGTGGTGAATGGGTGAGTTGTGTGCGCGTGGTAGAGGGTTGCCTTTTTCAGGTGCATTCTCCTCCTACACCAGAAGGTGTCTCTCTGGCCACCCAGTTCCTGAAAGGCTGCAGGGCAGCTGGCCACAGAACTCTAGGGGAGGAAGAATCCTGAGAATCCTCTTCTGATGCAATTGCTTGGATCCAGACAGACGTTCCTTGAGTCTTTTGATCTTCCACATTTCGCGGGTGGAGTTCCGGTCTGTGGTGTAGGGCTAGAGATTGGGACCATAAGGAGGTTGGGGACATAGTGGAGCTGGGGGTTACGGAGAGGGAGTAGGGAGAGGGCTGGGGACGTAGACAGGGCACAGGCAGTTCTGTAACCGGGCTGTGAAGGGATGCGAATGCTGAGGTGCTACAAGAGAAGTTTGTGGGTACTGGAATAGGAGCTCAGGGGGCCAAGCAGGCAGAGCCCATTGCCAAGGCAGCCATCAAGTAAACAAGCCGAGCAGTAACCCGAGTTCCTCTGGACGCCCCTTCAGAGGACCGCCCCTCCACGCCGCCCACTTGGGCCCTGCAAGCTGAGCGTTTTCTCCTTGGGCACCTAGATTCCTTCCTGCAGGGGCCAGGTGCCTCCCGAGGCCAGTCAGGGGACTGCAAGCAAAGGGGGCAGCTCACACAGCTCCTCCCCTCTCTGTCTGGCCGTGTAGGGGAACAGAACTGATTCCAGCCTTACAAACAGCTCTGGGAGGCAGCATAGGGCGTGGTCCCTGTGGGCAGGGGTGGGGGCCTTGCCCCAAATGTCACCCACCGCCCGGGTTCTGCCAATCCCGGGTTCGTCTGGGAAGGCGCGGCAGGGAAGCCCCCGCTCCTCCCTACTGGTCAGCGTCACGCAAGACGTCCCGCGTGATGGCTGGGAGGGCTGTGGCAACGCGCAGAGAGGAAGGCGGGTCTGAGAGCTGCGGAGAATCCCGGAAAGTGTGAGTGCTTGCTGTCCCAGCCTGAGCTCAGGAGTAGAGGGAGTCAAGAGTTAGGGGTTGGGGGTGGGAGGAGGAGGCCTGTTTGGAGAGGTGTTCCCTATCCTGTCGGATTCAGTATCACTGCCCTGTGGAGGTCCATGGGGCACAAGGAGCGGTTGATTGGGGGGAGGAATGTCAGGGTGGGGCTGTGTGTGATCACACATTCAAGTATCTGCAACTGGTCAGAGAGTGTGTAACTGTCCTAGTGGGCCGATGTACACAGAGCGTGTTCATCCTGTTTGTATGTCTGGGTGGGGCGTGCATGATAGTGTCTTTGTGTGGGTATGTGCATTGTAAGTGTGTGAGAGAGGAGGACGTGTCTGCCTGTGCAAGAGGAAGTGTGGTTGAAGAGGATTAGTCATTCTGTAGGATTTTGCCCAGTGCTGCCAGATGGCTGCTCCAGCTTTCCTCTGTACTGGGTGGAGGGGTGTCCGCTAAATCTTTCTACAGGCAGTCCATGAGTTACAAACATCCAACTTTTGTATACATCAAACTTACAAATGGAGGCTATTACAGATAATAGGTAAATGGACCTGTCCCAACTTACATACAAATTCAACTTAAGAACAAACCTACAGAACCTGTCTTGTTTGTAACCAGGGCCTACCTGTATTTTCTGTTGGCCTGTGGCCACAGAGAGCTGGATTGGTGTTTGTGCCAGCCCTACCCGACAGGGAGCAGGGAGAGCCTAGGGTCATTCAGAGTGGGTTGGGAAAGATGAGTGTGGAGATAGAATTTTTGCATGCCCTGTGCACACACATGGCAGGGTCTCCTGTTTAAGATCTGGAACAGATAAGCCCTGGGGTAGCTAATGAGCCCTTGCTCCCCTCCAATTGGGGCCTGAAGTGTGGGATGTCTTTTGCCATCATTCCAAATAACCTTCGGGTCAGTATTTAGGTCTCAGGGCAGCTGGAGCCTAAAGCTGACATAGCATAGGTATGTAATGGTGGACATAAAGTTTGTGTGCAATTTACTATGTTAAACTATTTTAAATTGCACACAAACACTATGTCCCTCCTATATTATATATGTTTTGTGCATCTGCAGCACATGAGTAGCTGCACAGGGGACAGTTGCTGCTTATGCATAAAGCACATGTAAATCCTCACTTACGAAAATCTGCACCAAGCCAGAGCCCAGGGAGATCTGTTTTCCGGGTTCTGGCCTTCCCTTCCCTTTCTCCTGTGACTACAGGTCCTTAAGCCAGGACATTGCCTAGGAAACAGCTCTACCTCACCCTTGCTTACCTATCTGGAGTCACCTTGAGTTTGTTTTTTTTTCTTGGATTAATATGAGGGTACATATGATTAGGTTACATTGTTTGCATTTGTAAGGTAAAGTCCAAGTTGCACTTGAGTTCTTTACCCAGGAAGTGTGCCATATACCCCTACATTGTACTCGTTAGGTGGGAACTAACTGAACCACAACTGCCCTTGAATTTAATTGTGTTTTTCTCTCCTGAGGGCCTGTAGTTGTTGATCTACTAGTTTCAACATAGTATTAAGTACATGGGAATGTTCTTAATTTGCAGAGAATGTTCTGCAAATCCATCCAGGTAAATATAAAAGATGTATTCCATGGTATACATATAGCAAAGTTTATTAATCCATTTATATGTTGATGGGCACTTGCATTGTTCCCACATCTTTGTAATTGTGACCTTGAGTTCTTAAAGGGACTACTGATATGTTCAGGGACCAGGGCAGGGCCACCAAGTTTTCCTTAGGTGGAGCCCTTGGATCCCCTCCTTATAGCCCACTGACCCTCATTCCTGCCCTGCAGAAAATGGGTGAATTGCCCTTAGATATCAAGATCCAGGAACCTCGCTGGGACCAAAGCACATTCCTGGGCAGAGCCCGGCACTTCTTCACTGTTACGGATCCCCGAAATCTGCTGCTGTCTGGGGCTCAGCTGGAAGCTTCTCGGAATATTGTGCAGAACTACAGGTGATCCCCTCATCTGACCTGCACTCTAGGGGCTCATTCCCTGCCATTAATATAGTACATTTTGTACCTGTCTTCTCAAGCTTGAGAGTAACCCTGTCCTAATCCTCAATCCCCCTCTCTCTGCCCCTCTCTGCTGGTATCATATGCAGCTATAGCACAGTGCTTTAACCCAAAAGACTTTAGGGTGTTTGGGTTGAAGAGGTGGCATGGATATTTATGGGTGTGTGGCTGTTCCATTCCTCACAAACACTCTACAGGGACCTATCTCACTGCTAGGCCACCCCTCCATACCTGTAATTCCAGGACTCTGGGAGACTGAGGCAGGTGGATTGCTTGAGTTTAGGAGTTTGAGACCATCCTGAGCAAGAACGAGACTCCATCTCTACTACAAAATAGAAAAACTAGTTGGGTATTGTGGCAGGCTCCTGTAGTCCCAGCTACTTTGGAGGCTGAGGCAGGAGGACCACTTGAGCCCAGGAGTTTGAGGTTGTTGTGAGCTATGATGCCACAGCACTCTAGCCTGGGCAACAGAGTGAGACTCTGTCTCAAAAAATAAATAAATAAAATAATAAAATAATTTAAAAAGTAGAATGGAGGGCCTCAAAGTAGAGTCCCAAGGGAGGCACTCCCCTTATCTCTGGGAGGAAAAACTTTTGCAATCCTCCCAGCCAGTTTTTATCCATTAGATGCCACCATCATCTGTGACCCAGAATTATGGTAGAGAAAGAGGGGCATCCATCTTTGTGTGGCTAGAAGGGAAATGGAAATAGGGGCCTCTACTTCAGGGAAGACAAGGAGCTCCTTTATTCTGAGATTAGGGCTGAAGTTACCAGTCTTTTGTTCAGGGTTCCCTGAGCTGGACAGGTAGGGCTTAGGAGGGTAAATCTATCCTTTAGAACACCCTAGAATACCTTGTCTCCTTGGCAACCTCTGCAGGGCTGGTGTGGTGACCTCGGGGCTTACAGAGGACCAGCTGTGGAGGGCCAAGTATGTGTATGACTCCGCCTTCCATCCAGACACCGGAGAAAAGGTGGTCTTGATTGGCCGCATGTCAGCCCAGGTCCCCATGAACATGACCATCACTGGCTGCATGCTCACCTTCTACAGGCATGTCTTGCTCCGTGTCCCCTTCCTGAGGGCTGTAGGATAGAGCATGGCTTGGTGACTAAGTGCTTCCTCTCTGGGCAAATTAGGGCAGAGAACAGTGGGTGGGAGAGACCTTGTGTTAGAATCCCTTTTATTTATAGAATTCAGCCTCAGTGGTCCTTATGCCCCAGAGACTGTGGGTGTGTTTGTGTTAAGTGTGTGGGTATCCAGGGGCTACCAGAGCAGGTTCTAGGGTCATCAACCGGGTCCCTCCTTAGGGTATGAGAATAACCTCTGGAGTTTCATTATAGGGGTCCAAGGATGAGGGACACTGCTAAGGGGGCAGAAGTAAGTGTCTTTGTTCCCTCAGGAAGACCCCAACTGTGGTGTTCTGGCAGTGGGTGAATCAGTCCTTCAATGCCATCGTTAACTACTCCAACCGCAGTGGCGATGCTCCCATCACTGTGGGGTGAGAGAGAACAGCTGTGGCACCGTGTGGGACCCTCTTCCCCCAGCCCACTATCATCCTCTTCTTTTCACCCCTCTCCCTGTGGGCCCTGCAGGCAGAGGCTTAGCTCTCCTCGACCTGCCCCCCTCCCGACTCCCCCTACCTGAGACTATGAGGTGGTCCTCTTATGTATGCTTTGGGGGACATACCCCTCTTCAAAGGACAGGACTGGGGCTTTGAGACAAGGTTACACTGGAGCTGGGGGAAGGCTTTCTTGGCTCTGAGCCCCCCCGCCATGCCTTGAGTGTTGAGGATTTGGCATGTCCCTAAAGGAAAAAGCTAAATGCTAGACTCCACTTCCCTCTTGTGATCAGGCACTTCCACCCACAGGCAGCTGGGAACAGCCTATGTGAGTGCCACCACAGGAGCTGTGGCCACAGCTCTTGGACTCAAATCCCTCACCAAGGTAAAGGCTCTCCCCCATTCATTCTTTATCTACCTCCTTTTCCCATCATCTCTCCCATCCTGACCTATAGGCTCCCCACATCCTCCCCGGAGTCCCTCACCTCCCCCTGGCCATCAGAGCCATTGACAACACCTTTCCTTCCCAGCACCTGCCCCCCTTGGTGGGCAGATTTGTGCCCTTTGCAGCTGTAGCAGCTGCCAACTGCATCAACATCCCCTTGATGAGGCAGAGGTGAGTGGCCCCAGCTCCTGGCATGTGCATGTCCCATGTACATGTAGCACATTGTCCAGCTATGCACGCTGTCCCAGGGTGGGGATGCTCCTCTCCCTCCCTGGACATGTCTCAATATGACCCTGGAATCCTTGGGGACAGGGGGAAAACCAGCCTTTGAGTATAGGATGTATAGGAGTATAGGAACTCCAGGGAGTAGCTGCCCATTGGAGCATTGGAGGTGGACTTGGGGCCTGTAATGTGACCTCAGCCCCCTTTCCTAGGGAGTTACAGGTGGGCATCCCAGTGACTGATGAGGCAGGTCAGAGGCTTGGCCACTCCGTGACTGCAGCCAAGCAAGGAATCTTCCAGGTGGTGATATCAAGAATCTGCATGGCGATTCCTGCCATGGGTAAGGTGGGGCAGCTGAGTGGGGCATGGGAGGCTCTGAGAAACAGGGATGCTGTTCTTGGGGGCAGTTACTCACTCTGGGGATACTAAGACTCTGTGGGAGGAGTGGAAAGAGGCCTCCTTCCATAGGGTTCCCAGATTTGACTCTACTAACCCCTTCTTCCTTCCTCTGCCCTCCCTCAGCCATTCCTCCACTGATCATGGACACCCTGGAGAAGAAAGACTTCCTGAAGGTAGGCCACTCTTGCCTCCCCTCTCCTGGAAATAGTGGTGGCTGGGAGAAGTGACATATCTTCAAGACTGTCCAGCCTGGCCTGTGTCTAAGACCTGTCACTCATTCTTCTAAGCCCTGCAATATCCCTTTACCTTCATTCATTCAGCAAGAATGAATTGGGCTGGGGTGAAGGAATGTGGAGCGAGGAAATGACGGAAGGAAGGAAATGGTTTCTACCCTGAAGGAAACTGGTGTCACTCTGGATGCCTCTAGCACATGCAGGAGCACAGGAACAGACTGTCATAATTACACTGATATCACACTCATCTGTTACCCCACCACCACCACCAATACCCCACAACACACACAGGCACGAACAGGACCGGGAAGCCAGGCATAGAAATACAAGGTCTGTCTCATTCACAGGATCATTTATTGACAAATATATATCAAGAATGAACTATGCACTGGGTATGTTTTAGAGCTGAGGAGACAGCACTGAACAAGATGTTCATAGTCCCTGTCCTCATTAAAGATTATAGTTTAATGCAAAAACAAATACAGAGGCATCAAACAAATATATCATAAATTGCACTACGTGCTTTGTAGGAAACTAACAGGACATTGTAATTGAGACTAATGGGGGAGAGCTATTTAGACAGAGTGCTTTGGGGAAGGGGCCTCTGAAGACCAAAAGGATGAGAAGGAAATAGCCAGGCAAAGAACACAAAGAAGGGTGTTTCAGGCAGAAAGAACAGCCTGTGCAAAGGCCCTGAGGCAGGAGCAGGTGCTCACATTTGAGGAACAGAGTGGTGGTCACTGTGGCTAGAGTGAATTTAGAAGGGTGTGTTGAGCAGGAGATGTGTTTGGAAAGGGATGGCTTCATGCTACTGGGATGGGAGGCAGTGAGTAGAGGTTCAGAGGTGGTTTCCTGTAGAAAGCAGTTTCTGGAGGAAGTAAGAGAAGAGAAAGAAGGTCAGGGAGTGCCCTGGGAACCAATTATGAAGGGTAAGAATGGATGACGGATGCCAGATAGGGTATCAGCATATAGGCCTGGCTGGAGCAAAAGGCTGCAATCTGGAGGTTTCGGCCCTATCATGGGCTTGGGAGGAAGAAAAGGGCCACAATTCCAGGGGCTCCAAGACAGGGCTGATAGGGGATGGCTTTGGTGGGTAGGAGGGGGTGGAGGTTAGCAAAGCTGGAGATACAAGCCGTTCCATGGTTTCTCTGTCTCCCCACAGCGCCGCCCCTGGCTCGGGGCACCCCTGCAGGTGGGACTGGTGGGCTTCTGGTAAGTGTGCAGGAAGTTAGCTAGGGTGTGTGGGAGGGCCTTTTCCATGTGGATTCAGGTGGGTATTTATTGCCTTTAAGGTATTTATACATGTCATTCATTCATATAATTAGCTGGGGTTGTGTCTTTGATACCTGTAAGATATATGGTGTGTTATGGGATAATCTCTGTTTTTCAAGGTCAAGCGCTTAGTTTGGAGGGTTCCAGTATTCATCTATAAGAGAAAACCATGGAAATATACCTTTTGATATCATCCAGGAGTTTCTTGCCTATTTAATTCATGTTTCTGGGCAGGGTGAAGTGGCTTATGCTTGTAATCCTAACAATCTGGGAGGCCAAGGCAGGAGGATCCCTTGAGCTCAGGAGTTCAAGATCAGCCTGAGCAAGAGCGAGACTCTGCTCTACTAAAAATAGAAACATTGGCCAGGCATTGTGTTAGGGGCCTGTTTCCTGCTATTTGGGAGGCTGAGACAGGAGGATTGCTTGAACCCTGGAGTTTGAGATTTCTATGAGCTAGGCAGACACCATAGCACTCTAGCCTGAGTGACAGAGTGAGACTGTCTCAAAAAGAGAATTCATGATTCTGCCCCTTACTGCTGTGAAGCTTGCTTTGGATCACAGCTCTGAAGGTTTTTTTGACCAGAATCTAATGTCAGGGTTGGGTTTAAAGTTCCTAAAAGGTCTTTTTTGCTTTAATCAATATCTACCCTGGGGGCTATATCTCCAGGGATGGGGTGGGGTACAGGGTGTGAACACCCTTAGACCAAAGATTTACAAGCCTTTTCAATGCTCTTCTCTCCCAGCCTGGTATTTGCCACTCCTCTGTGCTGTGCCCTGTTTCCCCAGAGGAGGTAAGTGCTGCCCTTGGGCTTGACAGGGGGCTCTTGATAGGACCTTACATCTCTAGACTAACCAGCCCTAGGGTCCTTCAGTGTGCTGTAAGAGGAGGCCTGGGAGGCACTCAAGTGATTTGGGGGCAGGGGAATGACAGTGAGCCAGTCCTATAGTGGTAGGAGAAGATGCTTATGCCTGGGAGGAGGAGGTATGGTGATCCCTAGCACTGAATAGGGTTGGGGTCAGGGGATATTAATTTGGTCCATGCTGTTCTGTTGTAGCTCCATACACGTGAGCAGGCTGGAGCCAGAGCTACGAGCTCAGATCCACGAGCAAAACTCCAGCATCGAAGTGGTTTACTACAACAAAGGGCTTTGAGGGAGGGTTAGCCTCTGTCCCCTCCCTCATCTTGGGGAGCTGCTTTACTGGAGCCTTATCATCCCTGCCACTTGCCTACCTGACTAATACCTAGCAGGGCTCTTGTAGGCAGGCAGCCATTGGGCCAGCAATTGACAGGGTCATATAATCCCTCTCTCCTGTGTTTGAATGTCCGCAGTATACATATGTGCTAAATCTGTGTGTATGTACATTGCATATGTGCTCCTGAAAGCTAGGAGTACATGCTGGCCTGGGTTGTTCTGCTATTGGGCTTCCCTTCTTGGCTTCCTGCACACCTGCCAGTCAACCAGGCTACAGGTGAAACTTCCTTCCCTGAACTCTTCCACCAGCCAAGTTAGTTATTTCTTTTCTTTTCTTTCTGTTTTTTGAGACAGTCTCACTTTATCACCCTCAGTAGAGTGCTGTGGCATCATAGCTCACAGCAACCTCAAATTCTTGGGCTCAACTGATTCTCTTGCCTCAGCCTCCCAAGTAGATGGGACTACAGGTGCCCACCACAACGCCTGGCTATTTTTAGAGATGAGGTCTCACTCTGGCTCAGGCTGGTCTCAAACCTGTGAGCTCAGGCAATCAGCCCTCCTGCCTCCTAGAGTGCTAGAATTACAGGCATGAGCCACTGCACCCAGCCCGTTAGTTATTTCTGATGGCACCTCACCTCTTTGGAACATAGGAGGAGCCCAGGATCCCAGAACAGAGACTGAAGGACGCTACCAGGCCAAACTGGGTCAAACCCTCCAGGTTTCTGATGCCTAGCTCTCAAAATGGACTCAGGAACTGGGCTGGTAGAGGAAGATGTGAGATAAGGGACAAAGGGGGCTAATATATCCCTCACTGCCATCCTGGAATAGCTCTATTTCCTCTGCTTCTTGACCAGAACAGAGGAGTGTCAGTATCCTGTATAGCTGTTGCTGTCTCATCCTGCCCCCATACTGCAACGTGAGCATCTTCAGGCACAGTCTTTAAGAGTTCTTGGTCTGCTCTGACATCAGAACTCAAATCTAAATCCTAAAATCTCATCCCCCAGCCAAAGCCCGCTGAGGCAGAGCAAGCTATCCCACTTATAGAGCTTCCACTGCACCCTCTCACAGAGAGGCATGCTGTGGGAATGGTGCTTAAACTCTACAGGTAGCTGAGTGGGTGTGACTAGGATCTTTAAAGGACAACTAAGCCCCAAGTGTACAATCTTAAGACAGGGACTTTTGTCTTCCACTAATCCTTGGTGGACATTCAGAAAAATTCCCCTGTAACTCCTTTTCTTGCTTGAGGTTGGTCCTGCCCCACCTCCACTCCCACCCCCAAGAAGAAGGGCTCTGGCATCAATGGCTCATCCAAATGGAAGATGGACTTGGGGATGTGACCGGTGGTGATAAATTCACGATGTCATTAATATTCAACTCCCATGGCCTCTGCCTAAAGACAAAAGGGCCCCCTGGTGGGATCCTTTGAGAACACTTTCCTGCTCCCACCATCAACTGCCATGAGTGATACAGCTATGATGCCGTTGTTGCTCAATAAACTGCAAACCTGTCTACTTCTTGATCTTCACTTGATTCCATGTCCTGAGTGCCTGGGAAGAGACTCTTGGTTGCAGGTTTCCATCTCTCCCAGTGAAGTCCAGGTCTTACTCTCATCCCCTCTCCTGTAGGGAGCCTCATATCCCAGCAGAGGGCACTCTAGATTAGAAAAATCAGTCCCCACTGGCACCTGAGTATGTATGCTCTCTAGTAGAGGGGAGGATGTTGAAGCCTCTATTTTCTATTCCCACAGCAGATGGTGTGCTGCCTCTATTTCCATCTTTGATAGGAGGGCTGATCACAGACCTGTACATCAACTCAGGCTCTGGGCTGGTTGGTTTCCATTAGGCATTGGGCAAGGGGGTGGTGACTTCTACTCCCCAGTGAGTCATGGAGAAAAGGAGACAAGAGAGTTAAGGGCTACCAAGCTTGTCAAAAAGAAGCTTTAGCAGGGCAGCAGCACACTCCACATCCTCATCAATTTGCCATGGGAACAGGCCTAGTAGGGACCACTTGCCAGTTAACACCCTTTCCCACCACCCCAAGGCCCTCCATTCCCTCCCTACTTATGTAACCTCCTTTTCCCCCTGGGGAATATGGAACCAAAAATTTGTGCCTGTGTACAGCTGGTAAGAGCTGCTATTAAACAGTTTATAGTTGTCCCTCTTACCCTTAGCATTGGTAGATTCAAGAAAATAAACATGAATGAGTCTATAATAAAATCCATTCTTTAAGTTCTCATAGTAAGTGATGGGGAGAAATATTTAGGGCTGAAAGGTCCCACAGCAGCCTGAAGTGAACTTTGGCCTGGGGTCACTCACTCCTCTTGGGGTAAGTAGAAGTTGAGTTGTATGGGAAGTAGAGCTGAACACCAGCTATTGTTCATTGAGTCCTACAGTGTGCAGCCAAGCTCAAGAAAGCCAGGTGCTTTAAGTCCATTATCTCTTTTGATTTTTTCAACCACTCCTGTGAGGCCAGACATGTTATGCCCATTCTTAGCAAAGACACAGGCTTAGAGATATTAAGAAAGTTGCCCATAGCTACACAACTAGGAAGTGGTGGAGCCAGGATTCAAGCTGAAGTCTGTATGACTCTCAAGCCACCATGCTATGTTTCCTGCTAGCCACGAGCTGAACTTGAGGTCATTTTCCTAGTGCTTTTGACATTCCAGGACATCTCCTTCCGGGGCTTCTCCTCATAGGCCCAGTTTGTTTATAAACCAGCAAACTGACAGATCCACAAGCATACACATACAAAATCTTTTGCTAAAGCCACTGAGGATTTCCAAATTTAGGGTTTTATAGCTGGCATGTAAGCAAAAATTCCCATTCTTAATTAAATATTAGACATTTAGATAACTGTTTTCTTTCTTTTTTTTTTTTTTGAGACGGAGCCTCAAGCTATCCCCCTGGGTAGAGTGCCGTGGCATTACAGCTCACAGCAACCTCCAACTCCTGGGCTCAAGCGAGTCTCCTGCCTCCGCCTCCCAAGTAGCTGGGACCACAGGCGCCCACCACAACGCCCGGCCATGTTTTGGTTGCAGCCATCATTGTTGTTTGGCAGGCCCAGGCTGGGGATTTGAACCTGCCACCTTAGGTGTATGTGGCTGGCGCCGAGCCTAGATAACTGTTTTCAATGCCATCCTGTCCTGCCAATCAAACCAGTGCATCCCACCTACGCTACTGGAGTCCTGAGTTAACACTTTTTTTTTTTGAGACAGAGTCTCACTTTGTCACCCTTGGTAGAGTGCCATGGCATCATAGCTCACAGCAACCTCAAACTCTTGGGCTCAAGTGATTTATTTAGAGACAGAGACTCACTTTATTGCCCTCAGTAGAGTGCTGTGGTGTCACAGCTCACAGTAACCTCCAGCTCTTGGGTTTAGGCGATTCTCTTGCCTCAGCCTCCCAAGTAGCTGGGACTATAGGCCCCCACCACAATACCCAGTTATTTTTTGTTGCAGTTTGGCTGGGGCCAGGTTTGAATCTGGGACTCTCAGTATATGGGGCCTGTGCCCTACCCACTGAGACACAGGCGCTGCCTCAAGTGATTCTCTTGCCTCAGCCTCCCGAGTAGCTAGGACTACAGGCACCCACAATACCTGGCTATTTTTAGAGACAAGGTCTCACTCTGGTTCAGGGTGGTCTCAAAACTGTGAGCTCAGGTAATCCATCTACCGCCTAGGCCTCCCAGAGTGAGCCACTGCACCCAGCAATGAGTTAATTCTTGCAGCTCTTTCTGCAGTTACAGCTTTTGGCCTTTTGGTGATCTCCTTGAAAAGTACTTTTCAAGTACTTTTACCAGAAGATCTATAAGATAAATCTATCTGCAAGAATCTGCAAAACAAAACCATTAACAACATTTTATAACAAAATCATCTGTGCTTAGTAGATAGCACTAAACCCTGTCAGAGAGAAGACTGGCCGGGGCACCCGAGGGCTGGTGAAGCTTTCCCACCATCTTCCCTTCCTAAATGCATACTCTCAAACGCATGAATCTGTTACAAGGCATTTCACAGGCTCTGTCGGGACAAATCCTAGCCAGGTATACACTTTCCAAACTGCCTCCACATACTTGGAATTTTCCTCAGAAATCAACATTTGGGCACAAGCAGTATGTTTCTCATTGGAAAGTACTCTTCCCAGTCCTGGATGAGGCTCCCCTCCTCCCAGAGAGCTCAGACTCCAGCAGCTTCTTCTGGGAACCAGTGCTGGTTGTCCTTGCCTTTTCCTCCCCAGTCTTCTTCCCCTTACTAGGCTTCCTTTGCTCCAGAAGCACCATCCAGCTCATTATAAAGACCAGAAAGACCATGACTCTTCCTCTCTCCCTGCCGATAAGGGGGGAAAAATGACTTGGGTCTAAAGCTCTGGCTTAGCCTGGCCATAAGGGGGAGATCAAGTGGGCATATCCTGCTCTTTCCCCAGATCACTAGGACTAATGAGGTTAGTATCCTAAGGACAGGTGGTTAGGGATAGCTTCAGCTCAGGCTCCTGTGGGGTTCTGCCAGTCAGGCCCTAGCACAGTCCCACCAGGCCAGTACCCTACGGAGAGAGCTTAGCCCCTTCTCTTCCCAGAGAAAGCTGTCAGTTTCAAGCCTGCCCCAGGTCCTATCAGTCTTAGGTAAGCCTCGTGCCACCCACCTCCGCCCTGGGGCTATAGCCAGTCCAAAGCGGAATTCTGCCCCATAGTAGCCTTTGTCAGTCAAAGCTCGGCTTTGCCTCCTCCCTGTTTCTTGGGCAACAACTGTGGTGCCTCGGGCCGGAAGTTCCAGGTCAGAACCTGGAGCCTACATCTCAGATCCCTTCTTGGCTTCTTCGCTCTTCTCTGTCCTGGCCTGCTGAACCCAAATCCCTCTCCCTCCTTTCCAGTTTCGAAATCCATGAGCTCTACAGCGCCCATCCTTTGGCTTCCTGTTTGGAAATCTGTGAGGCTTCGAGGAATCCCACCAGGCCTCTCTCCTCCTGGGTTCCAAGCCTGGATTTTTTTCAGTTGCCTCTGATAGGCTCTTCTTCCCACGCTGTCCTCTTCCTATCCCTCTCTCCGCCCTTGCACCTAACACTTTAGGAACGTTTACTGAACTCTGTTAAGTGCAGCTTTGTTCCTAGGTAAAAATGGACGGTTGGGTCTCACCTGCAGGGACAAGGCCAGTGCCCGACTGGCATTAAGGTGCTTCTCTGGTAATTTCGGGTCCTGATGCAGGGACAACATTTTCCTAGGTATTGTGGTGGAATCTTGATCCACC